TTTTTTTKWRRAAAAAAATTTAAGTAATTGAAGAAWAATACATTTAGTCACACTAACCACATCAGTGGGTGATGAGAATTATTGAGATGTTGTTTTATGAAATAAACATTGAAAATACGAAAAAACTTGGTGGGGTAAACATTTAGAGATAAAAAGACTAAATTATATTATAAATTTTAACTATTTAATTAAATTTTAGATTTTTAAACATTGAAATAAAAACTATGAAATTTCAAATGCACCACATGTGTTTCTTACTAGTAATTGATGCAATATTTATTTGTAGATTACAAAAAATCAAGATTTTTATTTATTTATTAACGTAATCTCACAACAACGACTTTTTCTTTAAATTTGACATGCAATTATTGCTAGATATTTAACGCAAAAACTAATATTCAACAATGTCAGATTTTCGAATTCCTATTGATGTACTAAAAAAGCCAATGCTAAAGAATAATTTAATACAACAACCTAATGTGACATATTCATAAGGAAACCTACTAACAATAATTATACTGAACAATTTAGGAAATATATGTTAAACAAATTGATTTATAAAGTCAAAATTATCTTATATATTACCATGTTTTTGTTCAAAATTATCTTTGGATTTTATGTTTTCAAAAAGTATGCTTAATTTCTACGTTTTATCTTGACGTAGTTCACCTTCTTTAAAAATACATGAACTGTCATAAAAGGATTTCTCGTGTATAATATGTAGCAAAACTATGAATGGGAGATAGCAATCCGGAACGTATTGAAAAAGTTCCTGAAAGACGTAAAAGTAATAGCCTTATGTTATGGTTGTCTCCGACTTATGACCTTTATGCTACTTAAGCTTAAGGTATCCGCGATTTGGTCGGTCCGTCAAAGCGACAGACTCTAGCTCTGTGGTAATTCTTTGAAAAAGTTCGAGCTTTCCAAGTTGGATTTGAAAAATAAAATAGGACTTCAGCTTTGACATGACTTTGATCTTCTCGTCAAGTGAAGGTAATGTGAGCCTTATCCAAGTCAAATTTAAAAAATAAAAACAAAATAAAAAAATTATTATTATTATTATTATTATTTTAGTTTTAAGCCTTTAGCTTTTTAAAAAGGTAGGATAACAAAGAAATACATAAGCATAAGCAACGTTTATAGATTTAATTTTAAAAACCTATTTTTTTAAGTAAAGTTGAGTTTAACTCAACTAGTTAAGGCACCAATTTCTAACAAAATGTTTGCAAGTTCAAATTTCTAACAAAATTCTCATCCACCCATGTTGTATTAGAAAAATGTTTAATTTTTAAAATCAGAACAAGAAACATAAATTGTTGTCAAATGCTTAGATTTCTTAACAAAATTATATAAAAAAAACGAAAACGTTAAAAATGGATGCAAAACTTCCATATTCTTGAAAACTTTCAAATTAACCCAAAAAAAAAAACCAACTACTTACTTTTGATTATGATGTGAATGACACCAGTCACAGCTTGCTCATAGTGCAGGTCCCACTTGTATATTGTATTTGGCCGAAGATCCGAGACAGGCTGAAATTAATGAATTTCCACGGTTGCCGCCGGAAACGTACGAAATATAGTAAATATCGTAAAGGCAGATGTAGTAGGGGTTGCAAACCGGACGGTACACAACTTGGTTTTGGAACAACACTATCTCATATCAAGCAATAGAGCTTAGCAAATTATTTAGGAGAAATATATATATAAAGCATATAGAGAAGCCAAACTTATTAAGGGTATAGAAAAACTCAGGAGATCAATTAAGTAAACAATATATTGTAAAATAATCACAAACAATAACTTAAATATAGATAGGAAAGGTATGCTTATATTGTACCATAGAGATTAAATTTGCAGTAAATATTGAAAAGAACTAAATCGAAATGAACCGTAACAACGGACAGTGACTGACTTATTAATTAGGTCAAAATTGTAATTTTCTTTTTTGAGAATAATCAAAATTGTAATTGAAAAAATTTAATTTTGGACATAACCATCAAACTAAGTTTCAGTATTTCACTCGAGACCGAGGAAATGGCAAAGGCAAACTCATTACTCATACATCCATCAGGCATCGCTTAGCTAATTTGTGCATTAAAAAAACGAACCTGAGCCCCTCCAACTCCACTGCTGCATCAGTATTTAATTAATCTAATGCCTAATTCCAATGCTAATGCACATGTCCAAAAAATAAATTAAAAAAAAAAATTATTCCAAAACAAGTCAGATGCTCCAAGTGGACCGGCTCAGAAATGAAATTAAAATAACAAGGGTGATTGACCTCGACCTGCATTCGCAAAACGGAGTGGACCCCTCCATTTCATTGGGTTTGGGACTGGGAGTTGCCAAACCGTTAAACTGCAATCACTTCAAACAAAATTGGTACTTTTTTTAATCATACCGACCCCACGCCTAATCTCACGTTTTTAACTTTATTGTGGATTATGAATATAAAAACTTCAATTATTAAGTAATGATATCCGAGTCATAGTAGAAAGAAAGAAGCATTCATTCATAACTAATTATGTGATTTTTGGGTTCGGCAATTGGTGGAGACCAGAGTAAGAGAGCCGTTCAAATATCGAACCTCAAAATCAAACATGTAATGGTATTGATACCATCTTTCATTGTTTCTGTGCGTGTACTATATTCTACAAGACAAGTTAAAAAAAAAAAAGGTTTCGAAGGAAAGGAGTATTAAATTTTAGTAATCCAACTGAAGACATGATAACCGAACAACATACTTGCAAATGCTAGCCTCGTACAAAAATATAGTAATAATAATTATTATATTATAGGACTAGGACACACAGTTTTCCTCCTCTTCTCAAAACTCACCGTTTCTTTTTTCTTTGGAGAACATGGAAAGAACTCACAGTTACATTACACGACGATGATATTCACATAATTAATTTTTATAATTTTCTACCCGCTGGAGTCTGCCTCTTATAAGTTATACCCAACCACATCCGCAGCCGCAACACGGCACAACCCAAAAAAAAAAAATATATAGAAATTTTAATTTAAGATGAATGCAAAAATTGTTTCCCATTATGCCCTCAACAACAACATGTGAGTTTCGTGGCCTACCCTCTCAACTGGTTGCACTGCTGTGGAGGCCTGGTCTTCTGCCTTCCAGCCTTCAACGGGCATGGCGTCTGTACGGGTGGCACCATACAGTTGTATTGCAAACACAAGGAACTGCTCAAGGGAATCTCAGCCGTGGGGTTAATTTCTATTCCGGTGAGATAATTATGCTGTAAATACAGAATCTGTATATTAGCCGACAGTAGGCGTTGGACGAAGCAAGCGGGCACCCGACCACTGAAGCCGTTGTTGTTCAGGTATAGATTCTGTACGGTTGACAAGAATGGGGATACTGGACCCGATAACTTGTTGTAACTGAGATCC